ATTTCTATTATTCTTTTTCTTTTCTTTTACTTTTACCAACCTTTGGTGGTCTTTGTCCAGAAATATATTTCCAAAATATTCGTGTTGTCTCTACGTCCACCTAAGACTCAGAAGTAGCATAGTGGGGAGACTTTAGGAATTGATAGTGAAGCTTGACCTCACTCATCTGAGTAGCGATACTGAGCCAAGATATTCTGTGCCTGCTAGGCTTTAGCCGTTGAAGAGGGGACTTGGTAGTAAACCCAAGGACGTCTGTTCCTGAGTCTGTTTGAATACTCAAAAAAGAGTTCCTTGACAGCAGGTTCAATATTGAGCTAAGAGTTCTACAATAAAGCATTTGACTGGTCTTGACCTTTGATTCTACCTGTTTTGTGCTGAGGGGGTTTATCATTGTAATTCTGCACCATTTCTTTGGAGTATAGTTTGGTACGAAGCACTGTTGTTGAAAGGGAACTTGAGGAAGAATCCTGTATATTCTTTTGGTCATTGCCATACTGTCGGGCTGACCATTGTTTGTTTGTTTTCCTGTCAAAGTCCATAGATTGGATTGACCATCGTATTACTGATCTTGCAGAAGTATCTTTAGCTGAATATACTCTGGGTAGTATACAACTAGCCACCCACGAACGACCGCATTATCAGTCATTGGTATTTGTCTGAATCGCTGACTGTGGAGATATTTGTTTTTATAGGTGTTTATCTATAGATCATCTATCTAAGAAGACACTGGCTCATGCTACGCACAATATACAGCCTCAAGCAGTCGGCAATGGAGTGGTACGAGCAAGTACGGAGTGTTATGGAGGAATTGGGGTTTACATGGTGCGCTGTTGACCACACCGTGTTTCTTTATGACTGTACCATCAGCACCTTCACTGTTCGCGTCGTGTGCATCATTGGCTTCCATGTCGACAACGGCCTCGGTACATCCAACTCCCCAGCATTCCTCAAGTATGTGAAGGGCAAGATAGATGAGCGTTTCGGCATCAAGGATCTTGGTTCGGTGACCAAGTTCCTTGGCATCCAGTTTGAACGCTGTAGAGACTCATGCCTCTCAAGGTGTGATATGGCGCTTTACACTAGGGAGTACATAGCACGAACTTGTAGTGTCACTCTGTGCGCTACCCGCAGCTATCCCTATACAAGGCGCAACTTTCCCACGCAACACGCGCCATGCGCGCACACTTCCCACGCTTCACGATGTATATGCGTTCCCGCGCTTGAGCGCCCTATAGCGCCAGCCATCCAGAAGCATCCATCCACTGTCCACCAAGCTCCCTAGTGTGTATATTTCCATTTCTTTTATTAGCATATCATTCCACCTCTATTTTTATAATGGACCCTTACTTATATATATCTTTACATACCTACTCGGTAGCGCTTCAGCTCCGCATGACCGCGCTTAGGCGCGCTATATAAGTGCCAGCAGTACATACTATTACTTACTTTTTCAACTAACTTTCCATTTTTACAACTTACTTTTCCTACTACTCACTTACTACTTAGCAGAGTATAGTAGAAATCTATTTGTCTACACTTTGCATCTCTCTTCTCCTACCTTGCATCATATTATCACTTCGCGCTAATATGTGCGTGTGTTCCCGCGCCTTGCGCGCATCTGCGCTTTCTCGCGCTTCGCTTCAGCGCGTACCTGTAGATCTTCGCTGCACTTGCTTCCCTTTAGGGTCGAACGCGCTTGTCTCCTCAAGTAACGCAGACTAGGCAAATCCACGACCTACAACATTTTTTAGATACAGTCTGGAGCCTCATTTGTTCCTCTCTGTATTGTTGTTTCTACAATGCGACTGCTCTTCTCACCATCTCTGGCTGCACCAGAGCAAGTATATAACCTACCTACTTGAAGAATACAGTATGTTAGACTGCAACCCTGTCACCCTTCCTCTCAATGCCAACTACCCATTCAGCCGCCCTACCGACGTCCCCATTGTCATCACCAATCTTCCCACTCGCTATCGCAAGCTCATCAGTGAGCTCTTCTACCTGTCCATCTGCACACATCCCGACATCTCCTATGCTGTCAATGCTCTTGTGCAACACAGCACGAATCTCTCTTTGGCGCACTATGCTACTGGCAAAAGGCTGCTTCACTATCTCGCCGGCACCTTGAATCTGTGCATGAGCTATGGGGGTGAACATGTCCACAAGCCGCTGCACGCCTATTGTGATGCAGATTGGGTGAGCAGCCCAGAGGACCACTTGTCCATATCCGGGTACATGGGGGGCTCATCGCCCATGCATCTAAAAAGCAGTCAACTCACATGTTGTCCTCAACCGAGGCTGAATATATGGCAGTCACTCATGTTATCCAGGAGGGGCTCTGGCTCAGGTCCTTGTTCAACGAACTTCATCTCGCGCTTACTGTGCCCATTGTCATCTATATTGACAACACTGGCACCATCTCCCTCTCAAAAGAGGCCCAAAATCATATCCATTCCAAGCACATTGATGTGTGCTATCATTTTATCCGTGGCCACATTGAACGTGGCACTTTCTTGCCCGAGTGGCTTCCCACCCACTCCAACACCGCAGACATCTTCACAAAAGCTCTCCCGCGTCCTTTGTTTTTGAAACATACCACCAGTCTTCAGTCGGTGACTTGGTGAGGGGGTGTGTTCATGTTTACTCTGTTTCTCTTCTTGGCACCTTCTTCACCAAATACATACATACTATACAGTATTGCGACTCCCATCAGTGGGTGCTGATGGTTATGTAACATACAAGTACATATACGTGTCCCGCTGTAGAAGAGGAATGGGAAGTGAGTGAATATAGGGGGTATGAGATAACTCAAGTAGTCCTCGGTGAGCAAGATATACGTTGGCCCAAGGGGATTGCTACTGAGAAGGTTCCTCTAGGTGTATAAAATGGAGGGAAACACTAAACCGGACACTTGGTCAAGCCTGGTAAGGCGCGCGAAGATGAGCGAAGCACGAGCGAGCGAAGGCAATGTGAAGTGCTGATGAGCGATAGCGGCCAATGATAGATGTCGACGCGCGACTTATAACGGAAGCGCGCGCTTAAGCGGAAGCGGTGCGCGTGCGGGTGGTGGAGCGCAGCGACTCTTAATGAGTCAGAATACTAATGGACAGAGTTTCTAGTAATGTATGGCGGTGGGGCTCGTATTGTACTTAGATACTTTTGAGTTTTTAGAGGATAACTTAGACTTATAGTCCAACGATGTGTGGGCAGAAAAAGATAGTCATTACACAGTTTATGCGTGTCTATATATACTAAGTAATGTTAAGCGCTGTCAAGCGCTAAAGTGAACCGAGAAGCAAAGCGGACGCGAGATAATATGTAATAAGGGTCCATAACGGAAAACATACGAAATATGGCCATAAGCACCGGAGATATGTTAGAATCAATGAAAATAGAATCAGAATACGCACTGATGAACCGAATGGACATGGAATGGATGGACGGAGGACGTAAGACGGAAATGAGGATGCGTGACTAAGGAGCGACCGGAGTGCTGGCGCTTGAGCGCACTGTGTGAGATATGAGTCGCGCTATGTTGGGAAGTGATAGTAACAATGGGATTTTAGATCCCTGCAAGGCCACAGAGATATTAGTCTCTACACCGCGTTTGTTTTCACCTCAGTGTTGCTTTAACACCTTCGCTGAGGTATGTCGTCTTGTAGCTCATGGCAACATCTCACACTGACTCATACCTAGACTCTAAACTATTCTAGGTACATCACAATATAGTGTTGCTTTAACACCTTCGCTGAGACTCTAAACTATTCTAGCAAACTTTACTCAATGATCTGACTGTCTGATGTCTAATAAAGCTGATATGTCTGTGAATCTGATGTCTGATTTGTCTGACCATGCTGATAGCCCATATGGCCTGTGATTTTGACCTTTGTTGTATCTAAAATTACTGATCTGCCTGTTTACTTGATGTCTAAAGTATCTGATTAGACTGATAGGTCTGTCTGACTGTATGCTGATGGTGCTGATGGTGCTGATTTATCTTTTTAGTGTCTGATATCAGATTCATCAGACATCTCAGATAAATCAGGAAAAATCTAGGTTTTCTGATGTAACCATCAACTGAAGGTCTAAACAGCCAACGGTACAGGTACGGTGACCGTATTACGGCCCTGTAAAGTCCTGTCATATGGCATACAGTGAACAGCCCTAATCATTACGTGCCTTAACATGATTTGGACAGACATTATAAGTGCCTTGAAATTTTTTCATACACCATTAACATGCATTATAAGTGTACCATATGAAAGGGTCCCTTAAAATGTCTTACCTTGAATTCGAAGGCTCGCTGGAAATTTCTGACAATTTGTTTAATCTAGAGGCCTCACACACTGGCTATTTCTGAATTTTCCTACAAGCTAGACTGAAATCAAAATGGGATTGATAAATAAAGGATTTTCAGTTTAAATTTCGACATTGACACAACAACACATTTAGGTGCATGATGAATTGACAGAGAAAGTAACACATTTTGACAAAACTTTTAGGTCCTGTCCAAATAGATAAGAATATTGGAAGTTTTCCGCTTAGGAAAATGAAAATGCAGATTACAAAATGTTGTAATCCAATTATATCCATTGGTAAATGGAAAATTTGAGCGCAGAAAATATTCTGTAAAATATTATATAATGGCCAGCATTCTCATTCCGGCTAAAAATTTAAATTTTCCCGATGGTGAAATGTGATACAGAAAATGTGAAGTTTTCTGCATGGTAAAATAACATGGGCACTGGCTGCACATTCAGCAGGCATTCATTGGGCGTTCATGAGGGATTCGTCGGGCATTCGGTACACAGAAGAGTGCAACAGAGAATCAAGTGTTTATTGGTAAATGACATAGTATGGTATAGTACAGGTATGGTACAATAATGATCACATAGTTGTGCATACCTGTTCTACAAGACAGATTTGATCGAAACACAGATTAATAGAAGTCGAAGGAGCGATTACAATATCCACAGTGTTCTTCTTAAGGTTACACTTAGCTACATTACAAATGGAACTGCGATGACTCCCATCCAGAACAAGGCACTGTTGTTTTTTTTGCGGGGAGGGGCTGGGCTCAGATCTGTGACGGGTATATGATAGTGCTGAATCGCGGCACCTGCACTGTTCAATGAGCAAAACACTGCAACACAACCATTGGGAGCAGGTCCATTCAGACCGAGGAAGAGATCAGGACAGGCTGTCGACACAAACCAGTTGTGTAGCCTGCCTCCCATGAAGGAGGGTGAGACTTTTAACATCACGTGATGTGTGTTGAGCTTGGAAGAAAATTCCTTCTTCATCAGCCAAGCTAGCGGGCCTAGGATGAAATCAGGTGAATGTTATAATGCCTTCGTAGAGAGACTCACCCTCTTTGGCTTTCTCCATTTGAGCATCGATGCTATCTAGTGTATCTTCAGCATTGACAGTCCAGGGGTTAGATTCAGTAGTCAAAGAGTTGGGATTGACACCGGGCAAAGGATTACCGGTCTGATCATTGGGGCTGGAGGTCCAGGTGGTCCACATGGATGTCGACGTGCTGGTGCCTGTGATGGCAACCGATGAAGGAACCTTTTTGGGTAGGGGTGTGACGCTTCGAGGTTGTGCGGCCAAGTACGATCTTCTCTGCATTTCGCAGAAAGACAACATGTCTGTTCCTTCGAGTATCGATCCATTTAACCTCATTCTGTACCTAAATACATATAAGCAATTGATCCACCATGAAATGTGCGTGTCACTTACCTGGTTGCAACGTCCTTGAGTTCGATCTTGATGTGCTGCTGCCCATGCATGGCAATGGTGCAAGTCTCAGAGGCGACACTGTACAGTGTGGCTTGGTAGCCCTTACAGTCACCTCCAATGATAAATACCTCTTGACCGATTTCCTTTTTGAAAGAATCAAAGTTGGCGTTGCATACTTTTGCCACGAATGGAATGAGAACGTCAACCTAGAAAAAGTCAGATATGCGTAGGTTGAGGAAAATATTACTAACAAGCAAATGGTCAATGTCAGAGAGTAGGGTCAAGCAAGCTTTTGGAAAGTTGACACTTTGAACGACCCCTTTCATCAAATACTCTGACCCACGAACCACTCTTACAACATCTCCAGGTTTAACATTGTAACCCCTGTCTTTTGTGTACTGCAATGTCTGGAGGTGGGGGAGGTGGGTCCGCCGAATGAATGAAATGGGAACTGGAAAGTTCAATGTTCCGTCCTGGAACCACAGACTGTCTGCTCCTTTGGGCAGCCAACGCACGATGCCACACTTCCCTATGTGCTCCCCAAAAAGCACTTCTATATAATCCCCGATTTGGATGGATTCAACATCAGGGGGAGGCTTAAAAAGTTGCTGCATTGGTAGTCGTGCTTGCAATGTGTGGCTCAGAGGATGGCAGTCTAGATAGTACTTTGAAACTTCCACCTATAGGTTGTGTTAGATGATTTTGCAAAATGCTGAAGTGGAAAGAGACACTCGCCTCTTCCTTCAAGACATCTTGACAAAGACGAAATACATCATCTACCATCTGAATAATGTGGCCAGTTGAGGTGACCTTCCTGATTTCTGAACTGAGATCTCCTTGAATGATCTTGGCAGCAGTCGCCTACATGCAAGAACTGCATCGAAAACACAACCATGGTTCTCTTGAGGAATGACTGTTCCCACCTGGGTTGTAAATGGAGCTGAATGTCGTCAGCATGGGGGCAGACAACATGTTCTAAGCGATCGCGGTGGAAGCTGTGAAGTAGGAGGCCCATATAATACTTTTCTCCTTTGTATTTGTATCCTACATTTTTCCCGCCATGAGTGATGTTAGAAACTGTGTTCCTGTTCGGAAGATGGGATCGGTCAAGTAGGGATCGAGATCTTGGAGGCATGGAGTATGGGAAATCCCGTGGCGGAACCAAGACCGCAATGACATCGTTCGGTAGATTGGAATCAAAGACTTGGGCTATGTCGCCCTTATACTTGCCATGCTTGATCCTCACCCAGGCCAGGCTGGGAAGCTTGCAGTAAGAATGCTCGACCTCTTCACGTTCCTCATCCGATATACAAACATATTGCTTGACGGTGAGGTAGAGCAAGGAAGGAAGTGAGTCTGCGATTGTTTTAGGGCTGTCTGCAACCACGTAAAGCTGACCGGGTATCCAAGCTGACACCTTAACGATGAAACATTTCTTCCGAAGGTGTGTAGCAATATAATCCGTAACACTTCCTGTGATCAATGAGTGAAGAATGAGTGAAGAACATCATTAAATCAATAGAAAAACTTATGGTGGACATGAAGAAGATACATCCTCCCGCCCTGCAGCTCAGTTGAACTTCTCAAAGGGATCAAGTCAGATATCGAGGAGGGAATATTCTGGCAATTTTGCGATGAGCTACGCTGTGTCGTCTCGAATCTATGCGTGATGTTATCAATGGCAGTGGCAAACCTAGCAGCCAATGATGATCCTGGCAAGGATGTAACCTTCCATGACCCAGAGGGGCCATTATGGTTGTGGTCATCCTCCTCCTCATCATCATCCTCCTCTGCGGCCAGATCAAGGTAGGGATTTTTTAACTAGAGATTCATTAGCATAAGAGGGTATCAGAGTAATCCTATTTTGCTTACTTTGGCCGGTTTACGCGAACTTTGGACGCGCGCACTGGACGGTCCGTCGGCCACGGAAGAATCACTGGAAGCAGACGCTGAGGGTATGTGCTTTGCCTTCACAGCACAAAGATTTCTCAAAGCAAGGTTGTCATCACCGTCACCAGAAAATAGTGCATCTTGGGATTCCTTCCAATCGTCCGCAGAATATCGATTGCCGAGGTACAATGAAAGGGCTTCTTCCATCTGAGTGTACGTCATGTCCATCGTAAGGAACTGCTCCAAAATTGCCTATGCACGCTTATCCGCCAGTGGTGCTGTCTGATTCCCTGTGTTTGCTCATGAATAATGATATCAGGAACATCATATTGCTACTTACCGTCATTAATTTTGATGCGCTTTGGAGTGGGTGCATCGTCATTGGATGCAGCACGTTTGGACATGGTTTCTATAGTCTAGAGTTCAGCATAGTATCACAAGTAAACTTAGAACACTACACACTATATTCACTTATTTAGTAGTCTACACAAAGTCTGTCATATTGAGGTGATAGTAGTGGAAAGAAAACCATGAAGGCACGAGATCAGTATTTATAGTGAACAGCTAGAGCAGCAGGTGTGATTGAGATTGTGGATGGTAAATGGTGGACACCGCAAATTGTCTATTGTGTTGAAGGTATTGTGGACCATAGCACTGTTTTTTGTCTTTAATTGTCAAGTCCTAGCAGCCCACTACTACTAGTAAATAGTGTAATGAGTGGGTGGATGTATACAGTGACTCAGACTTCCGCACTACACTTCTACACTATGCTACGTATTCACATTACAGGAATCAGAAAAAAGACCATTTTGGAAACATGCAGCCATAAATACAGAATGACTTACATATTAAAACTCAGTTCGCAATGCTAATTCAGCAGAACTTTCCAGATTGTCGAGTGGGCGCAAAGTGGGCAATATTTCTGGCAGAGTTTGATTATGTAGTCATTCAGTATATAGGTAGTGCCTATTCAATAATTTGGTTTCCTTTCGGACTCTCACTATTCCAAGTGTTCATAACCTACTGTACCACATAGATTAGATTATGATGTAAGACTTGAGAATTTGATTTGGAATGCAACTTGGAGTGATTCACTCGATTCACTCAATGAAAGCTGCCTGTTCCATGTGGTGTGTGTGAGGAATGATAGCTAGATGAGATGGGGTGAAGGGGGAAGAAAAGGTGAAGTGGGGTGAAACTCAAATAGACCTCTGGACACGAGTATATGATTTGGCCCAAGGGGATTGCTACTGAGAATGATTCCTCTATATAAAGTGGAGGGAAATCACTGAAACTAGTAAGGGTGGTTGAGAATGGATGGGACGCAAATGCGAATGTGATGCGATGTGATGCGAGCGCGAGCAAGCCGCCGTTGACGTGGCGCGGAATGAGCGTGAGCAGCCGAAGATACATTGGCGTGCGACAAAGCACAGCCGTGCGGGAAGATATGCGGGTGCCGTGAAGTATTAGGAATAACGCGAAAGGCCAGTAGTTACGCGCGGCAGCTGATACGAAGTTGTGGATTCTTTGGTTCGGACGGTATTGCATGCAAGTGAGTGATGGATTCTCTCTGGGAGGTAAAAGATACATGAGATTCGTAAGTACAAGTATATATGAGGACGCGCCGAAGCGCTATTCAGAGCTGAGTAGGTAGTGGCTGTAGGTAATAAGGGTCCATGACAAAAGTAATAGTGATATAAATGAATTAGTGTCGGAACTATGGTCAGTCTATTCCAAAACAAGTGAAATACGCACCGATAGACCAGCGGAGGACATGGATAGGACAGGATAAGGACGCGTGACAGGGCCAATTAAAAGCTGATATGGTCCGATATACGCGCGTGAGCTGCGGCCGTCGGCCGATAGCGGAAAAGATGCGCACTGCGTTAACGTTAGCACACGCAACACGGGAACCTATGGGACAACGCAAAAATAGCCTTTACAAGGCCACAAGGACTCTAAGTCCTACAGCGGTGTGTCCCCAGGCGGGTCATGCTTTCGGAACACTCAATTCGGATGTGAGTGCGCACTCTGATCTACATGAAGTAATTCACGCCCTAAGTTCAAAATATCACTACAGAACAATACACCTCTTCGAATCCCCAGTACCCATGGTGAGTACTTAGATAAATTCAAGATCAATTTCTGAGGAGAATGACATCATGTAGCATATCTTGCAGCTTTACAAGCTTCGCTTGTCTATGTCTCCTATCTGTTCCCGAGCTTTGCGCTCTCTCAATGTCATATCCCGTATTCCGGACCTACATCCGATAATATTCCCACGCCTCATCCGGACCTTCGGATGTGCTATCCATGTCTCCAGTACCCATCCGGATCCCTGCACCTCTGCACATCCACATCCGCATGTCCACGTCCAGATCCCTTATCCTTCACAGCTAGCCTGCATCATTCATCCTTGTCCCATCGCCCTAATGCCACATCCTATATATCCACGCATCTCATCCGGACCATATCTGATCCGGTCCGATCTGATGTATAGATCCGCTTCCGATCCGATATAGATAAGCTTCCTGATTCATTTCCTGTTCTTATAACGTTATACACAGCCTATTCGGTATTTCCTCTATTCCGCTGTTTCAGTTATATCTATTACCGGTATGCTTACTGATCCATTAACCTATGTTCATTTCCGACTCGCATTTGTTAACCTTTGCATATGCTTCATACATAGCCTCAGACTCTGCTTATTGATCCTTCCGTTATTTCTCTTAGTATATAAACTTGTGTATATGTCTTGTAGTACCTCAGTCTGAATATCATATTAGTCCTCGCACTAGTCTTCACTCTAAGTCCTCATATCAGTTCTAGTCTTCCAACTTAGTTGTTATCCATCTCAGGCCTAAGGAGTTTCTCCCTAGGCCGGAGCTCCACTTATCCGATACTCCACTCATCCGCTCATCCGATCCTCCATAGTTTCCGGAAGTTCATCCGGATCTTTCCTACAGTCCTCCGGACCTATTCTGCTTTGGACTTTGTCCTTGCAGCCTGTCCTCTGTTTACTTCTACTCAGGACAAGTCCCGAGTAGCCATTATACATATCCATATCAGGACGAAACCTCATCGTAATTTCCGGAACTTTCCTGCACTCATCCGGAAGTTACTTGCACCCGTCCGGAAAGTCCTTCCGAAGTTTCCCGCGCCTTCGGATATCCTTTGGACGTCTTCAGACTTTCCTCGGACACCAATCTGAAATTAAGGGCACATACTCGGGTAAGGGGCACAGCGCACGAGCTGAAGCCAAGCCCCTCAGAATCAGTCCTACCCTTTGTGCATGGTCTTAACATTCAAGTTCTTCACCCCTCAGTGCCTCAATATATTGTTCTACCACAGAGCAGATGTTAGTATTTGTTAGGTCAGCCGTTTCAGCCCCCAATTTTGAATACTCTCGCCAGGCATTTCCCAGCAATGTAATCCCCGACAAATGTTCAATCAACTGCATTCTAATGAGTCAGTGTGTGTTTTGCATCACATATATCACGTACCATATTACTAACATATGCTATTATCGCCATTGCGATAGCTAGCTGGATTATTCCCCGTACAAAATTCTTGACCTCTGACCCCAGAGGACGGTCGCTTGGTGATATTGCACGTTTGCGACACCAGATGGAGATGGTCGGTTCTGCATCGTTGGTAGATGTTGCTCCAAAAATCAGGCTGTGTTGTGGACTGTCGTATGTCTTGTACTTGGTCAAATTCACGTTCATTTGATCAATGAAATAACTTACCATTACAGTTTGTACTCGTCCCCTGTCTGCATGTTGCAATACTTGCTTAAGGGCACCATCATTTTTGTCGAAAATCCGAATAGTTCCTGTGTCACTACCTCCAACAACAAGGGTAGCCCAGTCCCCAAAAACAACCTGTTTTGGGAATGTCTTCACTGGATTGGTATTGTAGGTACAGATGCAGGCTCCATCTTCCAAACGATGTAGGCTGAATCCGTTAACCACGTTGTCGATTAGGAATAGTGTTTGAGGGGCGTCCACAGCAGCATGCCTGCTTTGGTAAATTGGTGAGTATATTTTGACTTGTCTGATGCCAATGCTCACATCATAGGTCCAGCCTTGTTTGTACCGACGATAGTACCATCTGAGCCTTGAAGTGTATGTCTAAAAAACATCATTGAACTCGTTGATAATGTGTATGCATGTGCACCTACATTTCGCCGTCATACATCCTGAATACTCACAGGTTTCTACTTGCCATTTGTTTGAATTGGACAGTGTGCGGGACTGTAGTGGACAGCTCAACACTGAAGATCGGTATCAATGGTCCTTTAGAGTCAAATGCCCATACTTGAACCCGTCTGTCATGGGTTCCACTTGCAATACGAGTTTCGTCCCCGGTGTGGTCATATGTAAGACACATGATCTCTTTACCTGTCCCAATTCGTCTTGATACTTTTGCGTGGAAGTCCTTCAAGTCTTCCCCTTGCTGTTGCCAGATGCTTATGAAACCCAGCCCTGTGCCATAGCATAGTGTCTCGCGCATTGCTTCTTGCTGAGTTATCCAGCATGCACAGGTCACCGGGTCTGCTGGATTTTGTATGGCTGGGGTTTGACATGGAGCTGGGAGCTGCACTCATCGTTTGAGGTCCCAGATCCTCATGCCATCTGAGCCTGTACTCGGGTGAGTGTGTAAATGTCATTCTGAATATTCCACTTACCCCCGCTTGCCAACATGTTTCCATTGCTCAAAACCACTAGGCAATTGATGGGATTCTTGTGTCTGATGAGGTGCCCTTCAAGCCGATATTCTTTGCAGCTGTTGGTGGATAGGAAAAGCATTGGTAGTTATAAATGCCAAGACTGAGTTGAACACCTTTATAAGGTGGTTTACAATAAGACAACAATGCCATTACCAGGCAACCCTGGGCGGGCGCTGGGTTCTGATCTAGGCCCAGATTGCCATCATCCATTAAATATCTTCCTGGCTCTGTTCAGTTCCAAAGTCAGTCATGCCTCAATTTTCTACTCCCGTCACCCCTTTCATGAATCTGAAGGTCCTCCCCAGGCCCTTCCATTACTGACATATCATACGGAGATGTTTTGTCATATGTTATCGCTCGTCTTGTTATCTCCACAAGAAGAGATAGTGTTCTCTGCCCTTCCACTAAGGGGACGCAGTCCTACTCCTTCCCGCATCTTCACGACCATGTTCCATGGAATCACACCCATCCCTCCTCCCATGCCTACTCCCAAAGTCATCAAATTAGTCTCCTTCTCGCCAGAACAGTTCACACAGAACAGCGAGTCCGAGAAGGTGTCAACATATTCCTCCTTGTCCTCCATAGATTCCAAGGACTCCAAAATCCCCAAACCAGAGGGTGAGGCTGGCCATCCTGGCTGTGGTGGGTACAACTTGGAAAAGGCACTTAACTGGGATGCTGAGCGCTTCAAAAATCTCAAAGTGGGATTGCACTTATCAATTTTTTTTCATCCTTACATAACATTAGGAATATGTTCACTGGTCTATCGAGAAGCATTGTCATGTTGGCAAAAGCAAGAAACTTCAAGCTCCAGCTGCTTTGCTTCAGGTTTACAAAGAGGTATGTCTGCGGTTGCTATGGCTGCTTGATATTAACTTCTTAAAAGGCTCTAGGCCATTTTCCAGAACTGGCTGATTATCATGGGAGTTGGCCAGTTGGGGATATGATTCAGATGCAGCTAAAAAATACTCCTGCCAAGGCGCGACACAAAGGTTCTCGTAAATTTCAATAGACCCCATCATTTCGGAAGGAGTTGGGAAGCAGTAGTCAAATGTATCAGAAGCAGTCATGATAAGAACTTATTGTCTGTTTTGTTCAGTTGGTTTTGCTTGTATGTACTTGGGAATGAATTAAGGTGACAACCAATGTTTTTGCACTCAGTTAGACAACCAGGTAAGTCGTCCTCAGATAAGTTGTGAATTGCAGAATAATTTCTTGTATCAAGATGTCTCATCTAATGTCCTTCTTCTCTTCGGACGATCCGGTCCCTGAAGCTATTGAGTCACACCCTCTCAACGAGCTTCCTCCAACCACAGCCCATACGTACCCACCTGCAAGTGGTACATTGGCTAGTGTAGATCATGATGACTGTCATCCCTCAGCAATGACTCACACGTACCTACCACAGCCAGTTATTTCCTCCAACAAGGAGTGTCTGATGGAGTTAGACAATCCTTGGCAGTCTGTCCATAGGGTGAGAGATGACAATGAGCAGCGGGTGAGGAATGTCCAATTCAGCTCCTTGTGTCAACTAACAAATAACAAATATTTAGCTGAATAAAGTCTTGCTCAAGGAAGTCGATCAGTTGTTCAAGCTGCGTGAAGATGTGCGTGAGCTACATTTTAGCAACCATAATCTTCTACTCTGGAAACGCAACACGCAGGTGCAAATAGTCTCACATCCCTCACGTTCACACTTAACTCATTTCAGGTCACCTCAAATGTTCGTGAATCAGATATGCAGTTGACCATTGTACAGTATCAGCAACAGAACCAATCTCTTCAGTGTGACAATGCTAATGCCCTCGCCTCCTTGGACCAGAACCATCGTAAAGAAGTAGCAGAGCTTCAGGTAAGATTCTTTCACTCCCATATCAGCATTCTGACTTGCATTAACAGAGCAATATGGCACTTGGTCTTCATAAAGCCCAAAACGAGGGCCACGCTGAAATAGAAAACTTATTGGTGGAGAAGGAGGTTCAATTTGAACACGAAATGCATTTAGCAAGAGATAGGTTTTTGGCCGACAATGAAGCTGAATTAACCCGCTTGGATGCCAAGTATAGTTCCAAGATTAATTTGTTGGATGTATGTATCGACACATTGGTATGTTTGGCATTGAGACGTCTTGCCGACTTCCTGTTGTCCTGTTGAGTACAGGGGCTTCGTCAATCAACATAGCGGATCCCATCCACTCAAGCTGAGAATGTCCATTTCAGTCACTGCTGGCCACAGCCTTGACATATTTACTTACAGCAGTATTCAATGTCACTTCCTCGTCGAAATATAAGGCAAGTGTCCTTGTTAGAGGTGTCGGTGCAATACTTTCATTGCTCAAAGTGTAGGGCTGAGCGTATGGATTGAAGTGCACCTTACGGGGTGCAGTCTTTTTGTTGCACAATGTGCATGGCATGAGTGAGTTGTGATTTAGTTAAGTTCCGACTTGTAATCTTTAAATCAGTAATTTTTGAATCAAGTCACAAACCCTAGTGGCACTAAGACCACCGTAACTTCACAATAACAGTCGATATTGCGTCTAGACTTCATCTTAGGCTGCATTCGGTATATTGTCTCCCAGTACCCATACTTGCTTCCATGAGTGCTGCTGTATCCTCTAGGAATATGAAAAAAAACAATGATTTCTCCACATCCAGAACTAAACAATAAGTTCCCTGTCCCTGGCGCAACAACTTTGCGCGACTTAAAGCAAGTAGAAAAACATCGTCAAGGTCATCTTCAATCATATTTCTCCTGCCTTTGCGATGGGAAACTCAACAAGTTGCATCTCCAGTCCAAAAAGTGCTTGTCGTGATGTGTGCCCCATATATATATTATCTCTATTCTTCGTGACTTACATTCTTCAATACAATTGCAGGACTTCATGTCAAAGACTGACTTCCGTGGCAGTCTAGGACCTTCGAAGGTGAGATTCTCCGTATCAAAATTGTGTTCGACTTAACTTCTACACACAGGACATCAATGCTCTAACACTTGAAAGCGATGCACCATCCCTGAAGCACAAAATCGATTTTGGTGACTTGGTCACCCCTCGAAAGCGATGTGTTCTAGAATCCTATTCTACAGGCGACATGTGTCAAGTTGTTGTGGTATATTCTGATATCACGGTATGTCTAATTTCAAATATCTTTATCAGTGTTAACAAAGTTATAGCCAAAAATAAGTCACCACCACACTGACTTAATCAGTCCGATGGTGAAGCGGTTGTTCAGGGAAGCAGTATGGAGTCACTGCTATATATAATTATCTTTACTGATTCCAGATTGTAGTCTGACATTTTTATGAAGTGTCAAGCGGATGTTCAACTAGGTCCCTTTGGGATCAAACATGTGACACTTTATGAGCCGTGCAACACCAAGACCTTCATATGGTCTCTACCTGTGGAAATCCTCATCACTACCTGTCACACTTCTAGGAGCACAAGATCTGTGTTCTGTCACGCAAGTTTCTTCTCCGCTGTCCTTTGTCCAAAGAGACTTTCCAACTTCCCCGAAGAATCTATTTCACATTCGTGTGGACTCGCCAAATTTTGACGTCTTGTCAACTTGGAGACGAACGGATAATTTTTGTCCACTGTGCATGGTGCTGAGTTGGCTGGATTCTGATTTGCAATCCTCACAGATATCCACATTGTCGCACTTCCTCGAGTCCATCCCCCACAAGTTGATAAAATACATCACACTGTTTTGGAACTTCGACATTCTCACTTCTCCAGTTCTCTCTCAAATGATTGCATTACTAGAAAATATCTGTCCTTCTGGCGTCGAAGAACTGACATGCATGGGTTTCTGTGATGGCACAGTCTCGCCGTCTATCACTGGCCTTACCCGAATCCAGGCGTGCATAGGTGCAAACAACCTGAAAGCCTTTGAGGCTTCTTCACGGGCGTTTTTTTCCCCAAAGATCGTTCCTTTCACAATCCAGACCATCCGTCTTTCCCCCTGTTTGGAAAAACTTCGACTGAGTTCTGTCAAGCTCAGTGCTGCACACTGGGACAAACTCATGCACCACTTCACAATCCCAACACTTGTCGAACTCCGAGTCGATGCTGATTGTGCGCCACCCACGCTCATTCATTTTCTAGTCCGTCAGCCTGCTGTCAGTAACCTCAGTGTCATTCCGCGACCTGCTGGTGTTCCCTGGAGGGCTAATCGAGTTACCAAACCTTTCATTCTTTCTCTGTCTACCCTGGACGGACCCTTGTCACATCTCCTTCCAATCCTTCAGAGTCATCGTAAACAACAAAACCTCACCTGCCTTCACATTTCCTTACAAGCTCATGATGCATCGCCTGACTACATCACTTCCATTTTACAGTGTGTTGGCCATTGTGACAGCATCGGATATCTCCTCCTTTCCCTACCTAATAGTCATTCTAGTGCAGTGATGATGTGTTGGTCAGGCACCCGTTCGATGGTCCGCATCAAACACTTAGTGATTGACTGCTCAGATGGTTCAGCCAGATGTGCTACAAGTGATTTGTTGGTATGTATTCTTGTTACAGCACTTTTTCAATACTAATCGTGAGCATAGGCACTATCTGCAGCTTGGATTCAAGCCCTTCCTCAAGTCAAGTGTGTTACTTTGCAAGGTTACTCGGCTACTGCTGCCGGGATCTTGTCGACATTATGCGTAGCTTTGCTCCAGGCGATGTCGAACTGGCTGTGGATCTGCAGGTCTCACCAGGTGAGAACTCTTGTAATTTAATCATAATTTAATCATTTCCTCACACATGCAATGCAGTGGAACCACAGCACTGAAAAAAATAGCTTATATATTTGTATACATCACATAACACTTGATCTTTTAGGCACTAGAATTTGTAGTACACTGTAACAGCGTTGAGCGGCAAATGCTGGCAGAGTTTGATATGTAGTCATTCAGTATTTAGGTGTGTCCTCATTTGGCGATCAACTTTTCTTTCTGATTTCGATGTACTGTACTGTCGTAACTTAGTCGTAGTAATTTATATCATGAGCAAAAATTAGCAGAAAAAGTCGTTCTTGTATTGATCATGAACAAAATACAAGTGTTCGCTCAAAGCAAATCTAAGTGCCAAGTAAGCCTGCATCCTCAGGAATTGTAATTTATGCTGATTTGGCACCTATGTCTCAAATATGTAGCTCCTTGTAATTTGGCATCGCCCATAACAACCCGAGATCCAGGCCTTATATGTTCCCCGACACTTTATGCGTGTAACATTGCACTTTTTTGACCTTTGTTTTTTTATCTTTCTCCAAGGTCAGATTATCGACAGCAGCTAGTACATCATCTGAAATTTATTTAGATGCCTAGCCGCACATTTCTTTGTAGGTGTGCACGATGCTGCAACGTTGGAGAAGACGGCTTGCCTGGGAATCCTGGTGGCAAAGAAGTACCCACCGCTATGAAAACCGCACATTTGCTCCAAGCTGCTAACTTGGCTCTATTGTCCGAGTGTGAAGCATCCTTGCTTCATCTCGCTCGCCAGCAGCTAGAGTCTGATGCTTTACAGGTCGACAATCTTGCTGCCAAGTTATTTGCTATCACATTAACCGACAACTGACGTCAATCCAGACAGCCACAGCAAACTCTGGAATTCCCTGTGCAGAAGTTCAGCAGGAGAAGGGACAAGCCTATCATTCTCTGGACAGTGCAGCTACATTCACGGTAGATGACACGCAGTGAGCATCGTATTTCGTCTGACCTTATATTCCCTAACTTGGTCGATTCCCAGACACATTGCCCAAGCTCTTCAGGCTGCTGAGAAGCGACACTGCTCAAAGGCTCAAGAAGCTTTGGATGTTGTAGAGTCACAGATGGATAGGGCTTGCAGCCAAATTTTCTCTGCGACTTCCCATGATGTTATGCAGACCATCCAAGATGAACTGGCTGTGATCACGATGGCCCTAAGAAACGTCAAGTACAAGGTCTCGTGCATCGTTTCTTGTAGAAGTCAGCTAGAGGGGTCGTGTAATGACATGCACAAACTCCTCTGTGACAAGGAAGACACGCTTTCTGTGTCATCTGAGCCGATTTAATTTGATTTGTGTAAGTTCTGTTCATCCTGCTTGTGCCCTTCGACTAAGATACATGAAGCACACCATTTTGACTTGCCAATCGACCTCTGTGATGAAGTTGCCCAGATATCCCTCTTCCTAGGGGCTGTATCTGTCGTCATTTTTGGCATCAGTCGCAGACACGGAGAGTTCTTCATGGGAGTCCTTGCCCTCATTTTGGGCCTTGCTATGGAGGCTCAGAACCCTCACTCTGAGTCCCACCGTCAAAACACACTCTCTCAAATCCCACGCTCTATGGAAACCGCCCTATCGCACTTCAAGCTCGACGGCCAGACTACAGCTTATGCGGTCTGTCCAGCATGCAACTGTACTTATAGACCGACCACCAGCCTCAACTCAAGTCATGCCCAATATCCCATGAAGTGCTTCAACCGTCCGATACCAAAGGATGGTCCTTGTGATGAACTGCTGTTGCAGCCCTCTGCTGATGGAAAGTTAGAACCAATCAAAATATTCCTTTATCACCACTTTCACAACTACCTCGCTGGACTGCTGTCTTGTCCCGACCTTGAAGTGTTGATGGATAGGCCTTGCGATGATTTGCTGGTGTCTATTGGCAGCCCACCTCATATTATCAAGGATGTTTGGGATGCCAACTTCTTTCGCACTTTCAAAGGTCCTTCCAGGCAATCCCTATTTATCAATAGAGGCACTGAGGGTTGATACACTTTCATGCTCAACGTTTATTTTTTCAACATTGAAGGCAATCTCCAATGAAATGCCTCGACCTCTACCAGCATCATCTCATGTGCATGTCTGAACCTCCCCCTTGATATTCGGTATAAATCTGAGAGCATGTATTTAGCTGGCATCATTCCTGGACCTTCAGAACCTTAGGCAATGAGCTGAATCACTTCCTCGATCCCGTGGTTGACTGACATGGTAGAAAGTTGGGAGTGTGGCATACATTATTCCCGCACAGCTCTACATAGTCCCGGTCGAGTTATGTGCAGCAGTTATAGCATGTCTTGTGTGTGACCTCCCTGGTGGCGAGAAAGGCTGCCCAGCTGGTAGGTCCAACAAGTCACTTTTATTGCACGGCCTGCCATTGCTGACACAGGTCGACTTGTGGTAGAGCAGACATCCAGACTGAAGATTGGGTTCTTAGGGACAAGAACGAAGTTCGTCGCTATGCTGAGCTCTGGAAGAACGCCGAAACTTTGATTGAGTGCAACAAATTGTTTTCATTGCACAGTGTGCGATGGTCAACACTCTGGAGGTTATCGTACTGGGATCCCTCTCATCAAATTGTGGTCGACACTATGCATTGCCTCCTGGAGGGTCTCGCACATGCTCATTTCCATGAATTTCTAGGTCTCACAGCTGACTCCAGCCAATCACAAGTCTGATGTTGTCCCTGCTTTCGAACATCCTTTCCTCGACGTTAATTCACACAAACCTCCAGAGTTCAATGAGAAAGACATCAGAGCCGTCCAGTCAATCCATAGCCTTCTTACAGAAGCAGTTCCTGACCTCGAGGGAAGTGACCCTGAGCTCATCGAGGATCACATTGTTGACTTAGAGAGAAGACTGTTAACGAAGAAGGTCGCATGTCTTCAGTTCGTATCTGTAGGTTTGGGCATCAAGCCAGAGGTCATGCACCCTGGAAAAAAAGTCTACAAAATTCATTGGGTCAGATTGCTCCTTGCTTGGGTAGGCATTTCAATAGTGTTATTCTCATACCCTCTTAATTGAGTGATCCCTTTGTAGCGTCGAACATGACCTTTCTCTCCTGGGTTGTCAAAATCACGCATTGTTACTCCAGAAGTTATGCGGCGTATTTCTGATGTCATCAAGATGACAGATACACCATCTTTCTTGAGATCAGTCCCCTATAACTTTGGGGAAACAAAAGCTGGGACCATGAAGGCCGACAAATGGTGCATGTTAACGACTGTATACTTACCCATAGCATTAATCAGTTTATGGGGTGAGGGATCAGTACATCGCAACACAGACATTGCGGACAGCCATCGTGCCACCCTTGATCACACGATGGCCCTCATATCTGCTATTCATATCGCCTGTCTGCGCTCCATGACGACGGATTGCGCAGATGCATACCGTACATATATAGTCAAGTGGATAAGGGATTTGCAAGTAATCCACCCCCATACACACCATCGAACCAATGGTCATATGGCATTGCACGTTTGGGACTACCTGCAACTCTTCGGACCCGTGCGGTCATGGTGGTGCTTCCCATATGAGCACCTCATTGGGCAGCTACAGTGGTTGCCCAGCAATCACATTTTCGGTAATATTTGAACTTGTTTGCCGATGATAAACTTCTTATGGTGTGCTGGTATGCAGGACAGCAAGAATCAACACTCCTCCAGGTCATACATCAAGGCCGCAAAGCTCAAATACTGGCTGAACCGTCCCTCTTGTCCTCCTGTATTTAGAGAGGTCAAGTGGCTATTTGACAAATTTGTGTCTCCCTTGACCAATGCTAATCCAAGTGATGGATGTCAAGGTCACCTGATGGCCTCTACTATAAAAGAAGTTATTCCAGAAGACCTCTGCCAACTCATTCAACTTCGGCGGGCAGTCTTGCATGCTCGCACCTTCCACGAGGGATCTATCTATACTTGCGACTCCACTCATGTTGGTAACAGCCTCATTCTTTATTATCCTGACGGCCTTAGGAATGTGCAACCAATACCAGGGACCATTAAGTATATTTTTGAAACAGAGCGAGGAGTGTGTTTCGCCGTGCAGCATCACCTTCCATCAGATTCTCACTCTGATCCTTTTCTCCATTATCCTCACTTCCCAGCTCGTTTATTCTCGTCAGCGCTCACTCAACATCTCACAATTGTCATGCCTGAGTGGGTAGTGTTCGCATTTCACAAGATGGAACTTTTCTGCACAGCATATCATTGTTGTATCTCTGAGTCAGGGTGCATTCTCTCTATCTGACAATTGTGATGTCAACTCACGATTAATAGGATTGAATCATGCCAAAAAACAATATCCACTGCTATATAGCTTGACGCAAGGTGTCTGTCCACATACTACAGTGATAAAAAGAGCCATCAAGGCGACATACATGTCAGGAGAAGTGGGCGCTGAACTTTGTGGGCATTCACCTAGGTGTTTTGTTCTTGCTTTCTTTTTCTTGATTCAATACATACATAACACATAGTTTGCTCTGCATGGTATCTAACTTAAAAAGTTGTTTGTCACGTTTGAAGCGGGCGCTAAGCTTTTCTGATGCATACATTGTAGTTTCCATATCACTGCCTACCTGACTTGCTCTAACTTAATAGATCTACACATTTCAGATTTACGCCTTCGCACTACTGATATCTACCCGGACTGCCGCAGTGAGTAGCAGCTTGGTGAACAGTAAGTACTGTCAATTAATATGAAAAATCAATGTGCTAATTATACCACTTGCATCATTGTCTGGGAAAATCCGGACTGAGTTTCATTCCCTATATAAACTGTGTCATGTTGTTTCTTGTTCCTTTTTCTCTTTCTCATACAACACATACTGTAGGCGCACACAAACGCAGTCCGGTTTTTTGCCGTTCCCTATACCCATACCCATACCCACATATATACATAAGATAATGTTTTACTAGCATATACACTATACATACCTGTACATATTATTGTATCAAATATCATGAGTCTTGGTGACCTGCATCGCCCTACTACAGGTGATGGGATTGTCACCCCTGCTGCAGTAAATGCAGAAATAATTCCAGTGCAGTTTGCCATGCAGGGTTCGCAGCTTGCCTCCGCTACTGTCCAACAGGATAGTTCTGCAGCTGAAGGGAACATCACCCCTCCAACACTAGCACAGCCTGTCGTGCTGGATTCACTAGCTACTCCTATCGTCGATACTCCTATCAAACAAGATAGTTCGACAAGACTACCCTTCACGACCCTTGCTTGATGCCGAGTTGATACCCTCAACTCCATGGGCAAGGAGATGCAAAACTATGTCATTGGCCCGATCCAGTAGAGAACTTCCTCAATGAGTTCCTGCCGAACCCTGAAGATTATGACACTTCGGACTTTGCTTCACGCTTCGCTTCAGCCTCCAATGCTGAAGTGTTCGACATGCAATCTATTAAGAAAGAGGAGGATTCTTACAATCGATTTGTGAGTAATTCCGCACTTATGATATTCAGATCCTTGACAGTTTTACTGCAGATTAACGGCATACGACCCTTCGCTCCCCAGTTATCATTTGTGAACAGTTCCAAACATGCAGACACCAATAACTGCTCATCATTCACATTCAACGTCAAGCCGGATGTATATGTATACAGCGACGGAACATCACACGGCTGCAATATTTCCAAATTCGAAGTCAACATCGAATTCAAATGGAATAATATCCACGACGCATTCTGTAAAAATCCTGGAGTCAATCAGTCAGTTGTGTCACAAACCGATAAGGGCTTCGATACGTTGGGCCAAATAACCAGCTATGCTGTCGCTCAGCTTGGCACTCAATATCGTACCCATGCATTCTCTGTCCTCATTATCCACAATCGTGCTCGCATCATCAGATGGGATAGGGAGGGAGCTATTGTCACCAACACCTTCAACTACTACCATGAGTCACACCTGGCCTATTTCTTCTATCGTTTTGCACGAGCATCGCCTGCCCTGCATGGCATTGACACTTCTGTAACCCCTGCTAGCAATGAAGATGCTGCCCTCACAAGGACGGTGTTAAAGCTCGCTACTACCACATGCATGTTGAAAGTTGCAGTCCCTCAGGATCCTGCCATTGAGGACTCTGACTGGTTGACGTTGATCATCCCCCAACCTGTTGCAAAATGTTTTCTGCTCATTGGCCGCTGGACTTGCACATGTCCTGTGTTTGATATTCTCAACAACAGGGTTGTAATGTTCAAGGATTCTTGGCGCATGTCATTAAAGGATGTTCTACCGGAAGGTGAGACTCACAAATTATTGAAGTCGCACAATGTTCGTAATGTCACATCATGCATCGCATTTAATGATGTGATCCACACTACTCCTGAGCAAAACACCCAGACTGTCAAGTTTGGGAGCGCCAAATGGGCTTGCCCCAACAAGGCTGTCACTCCCCACATTCTTCACCGCCTGGTTCTCGATCTTGTAGGCAAGCAATTGACTGATTTTGAGAGTTCTCGTGAACTCGTCCAGTCTGTTCGTGACGCATTACTTGGTACATATTTACTTTGCACATATTACCTAATGTCCATACTCATTATCCACGCAGCCCACCAGGATGCATCTAAAAATGCAAAAATATTACATCAAGATCTCAGCATCAGAAATATCGTTATCTACCGAGGGAGGGGCTTTCTCATCTATTGGGACTTAGCAAAGTTACTTATCATTCAGGGTCCTTGACAAACCACCTGCACGGTATGTTCATTTTCTAAACTCATATATTGTATTGATTTTGCCATCACCAAGGGAACCTGGCAGTTCATGTCTGCTCACCTCATTAAAAATAATTTTGCTGTCCATGCTGTCGAGGATGACCTCGAATCCGGTCTGTACGTCGTTCTGTGGACAGCCTTGAAGTACAGGGAGAGCTACATGAGCGTCATTGACCGGATGCAATTCATTTTGCAGATCTTTGACGCTGATCTGCTGGTGGGGACCGGAGGATCCGTGAAATCAGATTGGCTTGTCGCTAGAACCTACTTTCCGCATGATATATTCGTCAGCTGCAAACCACTCGACAATCTCATCATTGAACTAGCCCAGTTCTTCTCACATTGGTACTCCTCAGTTTCCCCTGAGGCACAGGAGTCACTTGTGTGATTGTGGCTCTCATTGCAGGAAGTTTTGGACGAAGCTGGGTCTGTGCGCATGGCTGCACAGCAAAAGATGATAGATGTCATGCAACGCTGCCTGTTGGAGTCTTCTGCTTACCAGAAGGAGATAGGTATGCAGGTCCTGCACACACACAAGGTCATCATCAATATCTATGAGAAGCACCTTGGCTCATCCGGATGGCCTGACAAAGACGTGGCCGTACTGCAAAAAATGCATCCGACCAACAAGCAAAGCGGACATCGTTTATACACCAAGTCACTATGCACCTCACAAGATGTGATGTCCGCACGGGTGCAAGTCACACCACCTGGCAAGAAGCATAGGCTGGATCCTGAAGATGACGTTGAGATCCTCAGTTTGGTAGCTGGCCTAGATGACCTTGTGTCCTTCGATCAATGATATTTTCTAGTACTTTGTGAGCCTGTATTCATCTTATGCTTACACTTACAATACATATTATCAACTTGCAGCTTGTCTGGTAGAACACCTATATGCTGACAGGATGGGTGAGTCAAGCAACCAGTGGATATTCCAGAAAAGAAGGTTTATGAATTGCGAACTGCTGCATGCCAGGAACTGGCAGCTCATCTGGTAGAATGCCTGTATGCTGATGGGATGGGTCAGCCAAGCAAGTGGTGGATGGCATTCCAGAAAAGAAGGTTCATGAACTGCTGCCCACCAGGAACTGACAATTCATCTGGTAGAACACCTGTATGCTGATGAGATGGGCCAGCCAAGCAAGTGGTGGATGGCATTCCAGAAAAGAAGGTTTGTGAACTGCTACCCGCCAGGAACTGACAACTCATTTGGTAGAATACCTGTATGCTGATGGGACATCCAAGCCAAGCAAGTGATGGATGGCATTCCAGAAAAAAAAGTTCGTAAATCATAAGGGGTAGTTAATGGTATCTAATCATTGTATCACTTCCGTTCTCCCTTCTCCTTCTCTGGCTTTTCCTCCTACATCCCTAGATGTGCTTAGGCAACTGCACGGGTAAACCCCCAGGTGTCAGCACTCATACTCACACCCACACCCGGAGGAATACCCATACCCTCAAAGTGGGTCTGGGTTTTTGCGTGGGTGGACGGGTAAATGACCCGCACAGTAACCCGCAAAGGGTATACCTGCGGATTGCTGCAAATTCAAACAGTTCATGTACAAAATGTAGCTACTCTAATTTAATGGCATCCCACCCAATCTCGAGCTCCTGCTCCTCCTCACCTTCAACATCTGCAAGTGCTGCAACAGACATGACATCCTCTGTCTTCACTAGATTGAGCTTGCTCCAATATCCGAGGCACAGGAGTGCGCGGGTTGACTGAGCTGATAATTGAGAGCGAACATGTGAAAGGAGGAGACGCCCATGACTAAAAAGACGTTCAACATCCACGGAAGTAGCTACCATAGTCAAATAGTTAGCTCCTTAATACGAAATAAATGTAAAAACAAAACATACCAGGTATACTAAGATAATCTAACGCCATGCGAGAAAGGCATGGATAAACAATACAACATTCATACCACCAAGCAAGGGGGTCCTCAACATGCTCAATGTCAGTGCCCAGGTACCTGTCAAGTTCGTTTACAGAGTGACTTGTCGGGGGTGCAAGTGCAGGGATATTGTCGAAGATGTTGCCCTGTGGATGTAGATAGGTTGTGAGTCAGCGAGTGCATCAAGACAGACAATAAAACTCACTGAAGAAACTTCTGCTGCTATACCATCGTCTGCCTCAGAGTCTGCATGTGAGGCTGCCAACATCGAGTCGGAGTATGAGCGCTCAAATGTCTCCCATACAAGCAGTTTCAATCCAAGTGTCTTCCCACTTCGCACATCTGAAATATGTGAGTTTGTGACGTGGGTGTAGAACTAAAAGTAAGAGGTCAGACAAATGACATAGATTAAGAAAGAAACTCACCCATGGCAATACAGTACACTTCCGATGTATCTGTCAGTCAGTAATAGCGATTCAATGTCTTTTTGGCGAGTCCTACAGCTACATGAATCGATGGAAGGAATGAAGCATTCAAGGAGTAAGTGGTCAGTTTCTTGTCGATTAGGTCCATTGCTGGGATAACGGTCGCCAAGTTTGGGGTTGAACGCGAGAAGAACAGTGTTGCGTCCTTGAGGATCTAGAGCAAAGTGTCATGTAAGTGTTACTAATTAAGTAATATACAGTGTCACATATGGTTACATATGTGCACACACCTTCAAGACATCCCGTAATTGCTCTGCAATTACCCATTCGTGGTCTGTTAACTCAAGTTGTCGCAAGCCCAGGTCTCGTCGCTGGGTCACGGCATCAATCGCCTCTCGATGCCTCAGTGCATACTCGACCATGTTGAATGTCGAGTTCCAGTGTGTGGAAACATCCCGTGGGAGTGTCGTAACCCTCATCTTCAAAGCTTCAAGAATTTCATGCCAGGCCGGGAGGAGTTTAACTGTCAAATGTATGATCTTGAATCCGAGTTTGCGAAGCTAGGTACTATGTCAATTTTCAAGGTATGTTTCATGATCTGAACTCCCACCTTTGTGAGTACTAACTTGATGGGATGCACACTATTCCTAAGGTTTTCCTGCTCGATATCTGTCAACAAAGAAACTTCATTGACCAAGCCATCCATGTCATCTTCGTCATCAGCTATTGACTCTTCTGTGTCCTTGTCGTTTGTGGATGCCTTGAATTCATGGAGCAAGGACTTTGCTACAAGATTGATGGTGTGCAAAAAGCACTGTGTGCGCGATGCTTTTCCGCCAAAGTCGGGGAGTGCGGTACTGATTTCGTCGATCATTACTGTGTTATTCAATGTGTTGTCGCATGTAACAGCCAGGATCTTCATTGCAGTAAGTCTCATTGAATACATTGTGTTGATTGGACTAACTTTTTCTATGATTCCAAAATCATCTAGTATCTGTTCAAACGCTCCCGCTAATTCCTTGCTGGTATGCGACTAACATGCTCAATATCAATCAAGTCAGGCCAAAGTAGGTCATCCTTACTTTTGGTATCTCAACAATATCTAACGGCAGACTCAGCGGCACTCCTTTATGTTCGAGGTGCGCAGATACAGCGACCAAAGCCTGATGGTTTGTTGAAGTCCATCCATCTGTTGTGAAGTTGACTTTACCTTCATGTTCCTGCCAGTGGGTATATTAGATTCATGCTGCGCTATGTTTAAATGATGACCGTGCCTTTGTGATTTTAGCTATGCACTGTCTTGTCCTGGCAAAGACCAACCGAATGTCACGCGACACTGTAGCAGCCGAAGGTAAGTAATATTCAGGTCTTCCGGTCTTCATAAGAGACTGAAATCCCCTGTCCCTGACAATTTAGAATGGTCGTAGACTTTTGGCGACCCAACGAACGATTTCAGCCCTTATCGTGGCTATCTCAGCTCTCAATCCAGTTAGGAAAGATGGCAGCGTACTTTGTCTCAGTCTGTGTATGTTGGCGATGCGAGTATGTCACTTTCCCCTTGCCTTTTTGCTCGAATGACGTTGTGATTGACCCACTCCGTAGGATGCTACCAACTATCTTAGTCCAAACCTCCTGGGCATCTTTGGCTTGGTCTGCAGATTGCAGAACCTCATCACCCCAGCACAATTTGATGTGCTTTTGCATGTTACCAGTAGACCTCACATCCTTTTTGTCGAGGAATCGTTGAATTGTAGTTGTGCATCCTCGAGCACAGCACTTGAACTGATGTGTGTGACGTCCATTGTGCTCAATGATACGTGGTTTGGGCTCGAAGAATGCGTATACAGGTGAGCACCACTCCTTCATTAGTCGAGCTATCATCTGATTAACAAATTGTTTTAATTGAAGATCGTATTGCGTACTGAGCTCATCTTCAGCAGTTTCAATGTCCAGACTTGGATTGCGAGTCTCATTGGCATCATCGTCGCTCTCGTCATCATCGACCATGATCACATCATTATGCAGATCAACCTCTTCCTCTTCAGTACAAACCACTGCTCGATGTCCCTGTACTGGTGTAGCTGCGGGACTCGGAGTAGCCGTGACATTGTCTTCCATGTCATCCTTTGTGCGACCGTGGTTTGGGATACTTTTAGCCTTCTTGGACTGGCTCGGTGCCACATTTTCCCCATTCATGTCTTTCTTCCATTTCTTAGTCGAGGGGCCATCAAGCTTCTCTTCGAGGGCTGCCTTCACCTTGTCTGTGAGTTTGGTGACTCATTTTGCTGTTTTTGCAAATATGTTTGGCTGCATGATGTCTATGACTCACGGCTAGAGGATAGTGATACTGATATGCTCGCTATTGATTTTTTAACAACTGTACAGTACGAGTAGCCGATTTCCTGTTTAGGTAGAGAAATATAGTGATTTTGACGTGTCAACGCAAGCCGCAGGTATGGGTGAGGGTGCGGGTGCGGGTGCCTGAAACATGGACCCCCACCCACACCCTTGGAACACCCATACCCACCACCCACATGGGTTTCCAAAGCCTGTGCAGTTGCCTAGATGTGCTCTAAACCCAGAAGATGTTCCATCTCGTCCAACTCCCGCCATAACCTGAGCAGCGCTTCGCACCTATCCTCTACCAT